TGAAAGAATAAATAATTCCATACATTTTCTGAATCATAAAGCAGAAGAAACCTCAAGATGTCCAAGGGGGCAGCCCTCTAGACAACTCATTTCAGAGTCCTAAAATGGGGAATAGGGCAAGAGCCTTTCCCTACTATCAGCATGTGCCTCAAAGTGTTTGCTTCCCCCATTTGCTCCACACTTAATGTCTGAAAAGAGGAAAGAAATAAAGCTGGCATGGTGTGTAATGCCTGTAATTCTATAAGTCTAGCACTTTGGGAGGCCAAGGTGGAAGGATGGCTTGAGGTCAGGAGTTTGAGAACAGCCTGAGCAAAAGTGAGACTCTGTCTCTACAAAAAACAGAAAAAATTAGCTGGGCATGGTGGTAGGTGCCTTTAGTCCTAACTATACAGAAGATTAAAGCAGGAGGGTCACTTGAGCCCAGGAGTTTGAGGCTGCAGTGAGTTAATGATGATACCACTGCACTCTTGCCAGGAGACAGAGAAATACCCTGTCTCAAAAAATAAAAAAAAAAAACCAAGATCTTTATGTCCAATCATGCCCTCCTATCTCACTTCCCCTCAATCCTTCAAGGCTGAAGGGAGATGGTAGCGCTGTCTCCTTCACTCCAGCCTTTTGGCAGGGTCTCAGAGGCAGACAGGAATATCTTGTTTACATTGTTGGGAGCTCAATGTTCTAACTAGTCTACCAGCCAAATGTCCTGCAAAAAAAGGCCAAGGGACTGCTCTCTCTCATTGGAGCCAGTTAAGCTCTCAACTCAGAGAAGCTAGAGAACATAATTTAGGAGAGCGTTTACATTTACTGTTTTAATATTTACAAAACAAGTTCTATTTCACTAAGAAGTGGCAAAGCCAGGACTCACATGCAGTTTGTCTGACACAAGTCTTTGCATTTAAAGAAGTCATTCTTTAACTTTCCTGCCCAAGGTCAGCCTTGATTTGTAGTCCTTAGTTTTTTTTTACTGTTTTATTGTAATTAGATCAAAACTGTTTGTGGAGGGCTCATTAAGGACTCCTTATAGTGCTACTGCTAAGGTGGACTTATTCCTGTTCTCAAGGAGATTTAAATCCTTTGGGGTTTCTGCTAGCCCTGTCCTCCTGCATCATCTTCATCTCCACCTTCTTCTTCTTTTTTTTTTTTTTTTGAGACAATCTCACTTTGTCGCCCTCAGTTGAGTGCCAGGATGTCATAGTTCATAGCAACCTCTAACTCTTGGGCTCAAGTGATCCTCTGCCGCAGCCTCCTAAGTAGCTGAGACTACAGGTACCCACCACAATGCCCAGCTATTTTTTAGAGACATTGTCTCGCTCTTGCTCAGGCTGGTCTCAAAAACTGTGAGCTCAGGTAATCTACCTGCCTTGGCCTCCCACAGTGCTAGGATTATAGGTGTGACCCACCATGCCCCAGATAGCTCTACCTTCAATTTGAGCTTTTTTTTTTTTTGAGACAGAGCCTCAAGCTGTCACCCTGGGTAGAGTGCTATGGCATCACAGCTCACAGCAACCTCCAACTCTTGGGCTTAAGCAATTCACAACACCTGGCTATTTTTTGGTTGCAATTGTCATTGTTGTTTAGCGGGCCAGGCCAGGCTTGAACCTGCCACCTTTGGTGTAGGTGGCCTGTGCCCTACTCACTGAGCTATGGGCGCTGAGTCTTACTTGAGACAGAGTCTTACTATGTCTCTCTCAATAGAGTGCTGTGATGTCACAGCTCACAGCAACCTCCAACTCTTGGGCTTAAGCAATTCTCATGCCTCAGCCTCCTGATTAGCTGGGACTACAGGGGCCCAGCACAACGCCTGGCTATTTTATTTTTATTATTTTATTTTATTTTATTTTTTAGAGACAGAGCCTCACTTTGTCGCCCTCGGTAGAGTTCTGTAGCATCACAGCTCACAGCAACTTCCATCTTTTGGGCTTAGTTGATTCTCTCTTGCCTCAGGCTCCCCAGGTAGCTGGGACTACAGGTGCCCGCCACAATGCCCAGCTATATTTTTGTTGTAGTTGGGCAAGGACCGGGTTTGAAACCTCCACGCTCAGTATATGGGTCCGGTACCCAACTCACTGAGCCTCAGGTGCACCCACCTGGCTATTTTATGTTGTTGTTGTTGTTTAGCAGGGGGTTCAAACCCTCCAGCCTCAGTGTATGTGGCTGGTATGGTAACCCCTGTGCTATAGGCACCGAGGCTTTTTTTTTTTTGAAACAGATTCTCACTATGTCACCCTCAGTAGAATGCCGTGGCATCACAGCTCACAGCAGCCTCCAACTCTTGGGCTTAAGTGATAAGCTCAAGCTGTTGCCCTGGGTGAAGTGCCATGGCATCACAGCTCACATCAACCTCCAACTCCTGGGCTCAAGCGAATCTCCTGCCTCAGCCTCCCAAGTAGCTGGGACTATAGGCACCCACCACAACGCCCGGCTATTTTTTGGTTATAGTTGTCATTGTTTGGCAGACCTGAGCTGGATTTAAACCCTCCAGCTCTAGCGTAGGTGGCTGGCGCACTAGCCACTGATCTACAGGCACCGAGCCTTTTTTTTTTTTTCCATAAGTAGTGATTTTAAAGGTTTGGCAGTGTTGCTGGACTTTGTTGAAATTTAAAGCTGTAGGTTAATGATAGGAGGCATTTGAGGTGTGTGGAACAGCTCAACCTTTGTCCACAACCATTTTATCAGTTGTATGTAACCCCCACCCCCTCATTAATTGTAGCTCAACTCCTTCTCTCCACCTAGGGAGTGTTTTACCTTGGATCTAAAATCCAACCCTTAGGTGGAGCCTGTGGCTCAGTGGGCAGGGTGCCAGCCTCATATCTGAGGGTGGGGGGGTTGAACCCAGCCTCAGCCAAACTGCAACAAAAATATAGCCGGGTGTTGTGCTGGGCGTCTGTAGTCCCAGCTACTTGGGAGGCTGAGGCAAGAGGATCACCTAAACCCAAAGCTGGAGGTTGCTGTGAGCTATGACGCCACCACACTCTACTGAGGGCAACAAACTGAGAATCTGTCTCTAATAAATAAATAAATAATACAATATAATCCAACCATTATTGATTTGAAATATTGGCTCAGCGCCTGTGGCTCAAGTGGCTAAGGCGCCAGCCACATACACCTGAGCTGGCAGGTTCGAATCCAGCCCGGGCCGCCAAACAACAATGACAGCTGCAACCAAAAAATAGCCAGGTGTTGTGGCTGGCGCCTATAGTCCCAGCTACTTGGGAGGCAGAGGCAGGAGATTCGCTTGAGCCCAGGAGTTGGAGGTTGATGTGAGCTGTGATGCCATGGCACTTCACCCAGGGCAACAGCTTGAGGTTCTTTCTCAAAAAAAGAAAGAAAGAAAGAAAGAAAGATATATTGGCACGTTTTATCAGTAACAAATTACTGGAGCATTCCTCTTGACACTTACTAAGACTACCCTGACACACATTATGCCTCATGACTCCTAGCAAAAAAGACTTTTACGGGAGTCATTACAATGCAATGGGAAACAAGAAACAAAAGATAAAAATAAAGTTCCTCTCCCCACTCTTGTTGAAGGAGTAGCCTTTGTTAATTACTAGTCTCTTTCTGCCTCAGTTCTCATTACATACAAAATGAAAGCTATAAGAGGTTCTTGTGAAAATATCCGTAAGTTTAATACTATTGTTTTGAGGGCTGAAGTTCAATAAGATGGGATGGAGGGCCTAGAGAAGCAGAGAGGGATTAAAATGTGGAGAGTCTGGAATTATAGGCTGAGGAGTTGGATCATGATGTAATGGAGGTTTGTTAAGATTATTGAACATGGCTCACCACCTGTGGCTCAAGTGGCTAAGGCGCCAGGCACATACACCTGGGCTGGCAGGTTTGAATCCAGTCCGGGCCCGTCAAACAACAATGACGGCTGCAACCAAAAAATAGCCAGGCGTTGTGGCAGGTGCCTGTAGTCCCAGCTACTTGGGAGGCGGAGGCAGGAGACTCGCTTGAGCCCAGGAGTTGGAGGTTGCTGTGAGCTGTGATGCCACAGTACTCTACCCAGGGCGACAGCTTGAGGCTCACTCTCTCTCAAAAAAAAAAAGATTATTGAACATAGTAGTAACATAATCGTTAGTATCTGTGTGTTAGGAGGAAAGCAGGCAGCAGTGTGGAGAATAGAGGAAAGAGATGGAAAAGGTCCAGACAGGAGATGTTGATGGTAATTGCTGTGAAAGGTGGAAAAACAGGATTAATTGAAGAGGTAAGGAAGAGAGTCCATTGTGGAAGCAATAGAATTTGGGTGGATGTGAGAACTGAGGAAAGTATTCAATGGAATTAGGTTTGTGATCTCAAGAGCTGAAAATGCTGCGCAATTAAGTGAATGGAAGCACAGGAACTGCATGTGTGTGAGAGAAATAGGTAAAATGGGGCAGGGAATAAAGAATGATTTTGTCTTGTTTGAAATGCCAGTGGATCACACCTGTGTGGTGCTTTCCAGCGGGACACTTAGGAGTAGTTCTGGGGAAATTTCTTCCAATGAAGGAAAGGAATACGCTTGTAATGAGAACAGCTCAACCATTTTTATAGTGCTCAACCATCAGCGCCCCAAAACCTGAGGCAGTTATTAGTTATTACCTTGCCAGCAATAAAAGCTTGATTACAGCCCCTGATGGCTTATTGCGGGAAGGCCTTGGTTCCTCCGACTTCCATAGACAAAGTGATAATAATTGTGATTAATTATTGTGTGGCACGATACAAAGACTAGATGATGCATTGTGGTTTCCAGAGGGCGCCTGCGAGGGAACTGGACAGCTCCTCCGATGGCCTTATAGGCCCTTTACAGATCAGAGCCTGTCAGCCTCGAGCTACCCCAGTCATGTGGGTCTGGGTTTGGGCTTTCATGTACTCCCTTTCTCAGCGCTTTGACCTTGAGCAGAAGCCTCGCGGTCTTTCTTCCTCGCTCACTGACCCCGACCCCCGGCGCAGAGCAGGGGGCGGGGCTGCTCCGAGGCCTGGTCACGCCCCCCGCCGGCGGCCCCGCCCCTCCCGCCGCCGCCAGCTCCCTCCGGCTGGCAGTGCGGTCCGCGCCTGCGCTGGCTCTCGCCTCGGAGCAGCCATGATGGTGGGTGTTCTCCGCAGCGCTCCGGGCGCGCGGTCGGGGGCGGCGGGCGCGGGGCGGACGCGGGGACCGCGCGAACCTGGCACTAATGTTTTTCTTTGTGTCTCCCCTGTCCTATCCTCTCCCCCGGCGCGCCGGGCCCGCGGACCCCGCAGGAAGGCCTGGACGACGGCCCCGACTTCCTCTCAGAGGAGGACCGCGGAGTAAGTTCTGTCTCCTCCTTATTCTCAGGACCCTCCCTCCATCCCCCAATACCCCCCGCCTCGGCCCCGGGTGTGGTTTGGGGAAGGGTCCACCCTGCCCGAGAGGCACTCCCTCCGTGTCGTCCGCCTTTCGGTTTCTTCGCCGCCCCGCGCCCCGCCCTCCTGCAGCCGGTCCTCTCTGGGGGCCGTTTCGATTTCTAGAGGACGGGGTCCACTTTGTTGTCCCTCGCTCTAGGCCCTTCTGTGGACCTATTCTCCGACCCGGGGCGTAGTGCAGTTTGGGATGTGTAAACGGAGGCGGGAGCTGGAACGCCCCCACCCTCGCCACTTGGGGCTAGGAAAACCCATTCTCAGACCTTCCAGGCGGCACCTTCAGTTTTCTCCCGGTGTGGACCTCAGGAGCTCGCTTTTCTCTCTCTCTCTCTCTCTCTCACACACACACAGAGTACGGGCTTGTTCTCAGTTATACTTTTGCAGGAATTTTTACAGTCGTCGAATAGCATCTCCTTTTCAGTGACCTGCCAGATATTGCAAAGTGCTGGTAGCCCAGGGTACCTTTAACTTTTTTCTCATTAAAAAAAACTCTTTTACAGGGTTTCCTTGATGTTTTTTGCCCTTAGCTTTTTTGAGGATGATTGACAATAACTATGTATTTGATGCATTGTAAAATGAGTACCACAGTCAAGCTAATCATTGCCCCACACCTAGTCACCATTCTTTAAGAACACTTGAGATCTACTCATTAGCAAATTTCAAGTATATGATCTATTTTTGTTTTGTTTTGAGACAGAATCTTAAGCTGGTGCCCTGTGCAGAGTGCAGTGGCATCATAGCTCACAGCAACCTCTGACTTTCTGCACTCATGTAATTCTCTTGTCTCAGTTTTTCCATTTTTAGTAGAGACAGGGGGTCGGTCTTACTTTTGCTCAGGCTGGCCTGGAACTCATGAGCTCAAGCAGTCCACCCATCTCAGTTTCCCAGAGTGCTAGGATTATAGGCATGAGCCACTTCACCAGGCCTAGTACAGATTATTATTAAATTTAATCACCATGTTATACATCACGTCTCCAGAACTTAGTCATCTTTTTTTTTGTTTGAGACAGAGTCTCACTCTGTTGCCCTCTGTAGAGTGCTATAGCATCATAGCTCACAGCAACCTCAAACTATTGGGCTCAAGCCATTCTCTTGCCTCACCCTCCTTAGTAGCTGGGACTGCAGGCACCCACCACAGTGCCCAGCATTCTCTAAAAATGTTGGGTTCTTGCTCTTGCTCTGGCTGGTCTCAAACCCTCCTGCCTCTGCCTCCCAGAGTTGCTAGGATTACAGGTGTGAGCCACCACTTCAGGCCCAGAATTTACTCATCTTAAAACTGAAAGTTTGTAATCCCCAAATTTCAGTAACTCCTTTTCTACCGTTGGTGTCATTTTGAGGTTGGTTGCATTCCATTTCTCAAAGGACCTTCAGGTCTCTAATCCTCCCCTTCTCACACCACTTTCCACCCCCAGTTGCTTTGTCTCAATTGCGGTAATACAGTGCCTTGTACATGTGAGCACTTGAAAAATATTGATACAAGATAATGGCTGCTCAGCAAGAATCCATGGTTCCTTAACATTTTATATCCTACATTTCAGTTTTCTGTTTTGCTTTTCGTTATCCATCTTAGATAATATGAGACTTGTTTGTTAGTGGCTGATGAGTGATAAAATATTGTTCGGTTTTTTTTTCTTCTTTGAGACAGAGTCTCAGTTTGTCGCCCTCAGTAGAGTGCAGTGGCATCACAGCTCACAGCAAACTCAACCTCTTGGGCTTAAGCAGTTCTCTTGCCTCCAGCTCCCAAGTAGCTGGGACTACAGGTGCCCACCACAACACTTGGTTATTTTTTGTTGTTGTAGTTGTCATTGTTTGGCAGGCCTGGGCTGTTTTTGAACCCACCAGCCCTGGTTTATGTGGCTGACTCCCTAGCTGCTGAGCTACAGGCACTGAGCCAATGTTGTTAGGTTGTTTTTTTTTTTTTTGAGACAGAGCCTCAAGCTGTCCCCCTGGGTAGAGTGCAGTGACATCACAGCTCACAGCAACCTCCAACTC